TCCGAGAGTCACTGCTGGGCATGCCTCTCGTGAGCTCTGTACTTGGGGGTCGAGCCTCTGGTGGGTGCAGGCCAGCCATCCTTCATCCCTCTGCTGGGTCTGCAGAGAGTGGGTGGAAGCCTGGTGGGAAGGTGTACAGAGCCCTAAACTTCCATTGGAGGCACTCTGGGAGTGTGTGAAGGAGCCCTGGGGCATAGTGGGGTATTTGTTGGACTGCTAACTACAAGATCAGCAGTTTAAAACCAGTGGCCTCTGCAGGAGAAAGATGAGGCTTTTTGTTCCTCCAAAGGGTCTCAGTTCTACTCGATCCTTCAGGGTCACTGACTCAGAATGGATTCGATGGCATGAGTTTGGTTTTGGTTTTAGGAGGGTGTGAGTCTCCTGTCAAAATGAACTCCTTTTGCACCTGTCTCGCTGGAGGAAGGCAGAGGATTCCACTCCGTGTGGAGTGAGTGGCAGATGATTCGGTGAAGGAATGATCATGAAGGTGCAGCTCGGGGAAAAGTATCCACAGGGAGAGCCGATGGGAAGCTCTCCCCTGTCTTGAGCCCCACAAACTGGGGGCTTCAGAATCAGGTGGGGGACAGGACTGTGGAGGACTTGGGGTTGTCCATTGGGGTTGTACCAGCATAAGATGGGCGGGAAAACACAGAGTCCCCGACTCCACCCATTGCGGACTTATTCCAGCTCATAGCAACCCCAGGTGACAGAGTAGAGTGGCTCCTCGAGACTTTTCTATCATCTTTACGGGCACCGATGGCTTCCCTGGGAGGGTCTGAATCACCTACCTTGGTGAGCAGCACAGACCTAAAGCAAGAAGGCCAGGTGCAACCCACCCTCCTCTCTCTCTCCTTTCTCACCATGCCCTCTGCTGACAGTGCCTCCTGCTGGTCAAATCTGACCAGAAGCAACGGCAAGCGCACACAGGAGACACAGTGTCGTTCCAGCATCTTGCTTCAGCGTCAAAGAGACCCCAGTTTGAATCCTGCCTCTGCCATTAAGGGAGTTGCTTAACTCCCTAAAACTTGTTTTCTTCACCTGCAACATGGGGATCACCATCATTTCCTCCAGGGTGGTGGTGATATTGACCTTCAGCGCAGGCATCGGCAGGTGAGAGGCCCTGGAGGCAGTGAGGCAGCGGGCAGCAGAGAGGGGCAGCAGCCTCCCTCCAGGTTGCCTGTGAGTGCTCTGGGGCAGAGCTGGGAATGAGTTGTGACTCCCGAGACTCAGGCTGTTTCTCGTGGACACATCCCGTAATTGCTTTCCGTCTCTCGGAAACCACTGGCTCAGATACCCACTGCGTGCTCCAAGTTGGGCTGATGAAAATGTGCCAGAGTCATTAAGTTATCAGTGGGGAAGGCGGCCGCCTCTCCCCGGCAGGAAGGCTTCTGCTGTCTGAGGCAGCCAGCTTTGTTCTTCTCCCCTCACCCCCTCCTCTGCCTCAGGACAAGAAAGGGGGTGGGGGTGGGGGGATGCTGCCTGTATTCTGGGGCAACCCGGAAGGACCCAGCCCTCCAGATGGGAATTGAGCTTGGGGAGCCCAGCTCTGGGCAGGGAAGGGAGCAAAACTATTTCCGACAGATGGATGCACCTCAGGGGGGCGGGGCAAGGAGAGAGAGGAAGGAGAGCTGGACCTTCTTCATTGTCACAGCCGGACCTCTCCAAGTGCACCGTGCCAGGAAGACAAAGCCCAGGTGCGTGACTTGCCACGGCTCCGAGGAGCTGAGGCTGCAAGGGCCAGCTGCTCCCTGGGCGAAGGCTTTAGATCCAGAGGTGCATGACACAAAGGCATGCGTGCTCCCGCTGGCCCACCTGGTGGGAAGAAGGTGGAGGGAGAGCTGGGGGTCCAGCCCTCTCAGAAGCCTCGCGAAGTCTTGGGGCTCCATCTGATTCAGCCCCACGGGTGATCCCAGAGTGAGATGACTGACATGACAAACAGACAGCAGATGGGTCCGAGGCTTGTGTTCTCAGAACGCCGTTTTGTCCCTACCCTCTCTCTGTGCTGCTCCCACCTCCCCAGACTCCAAAAGAGAAACGACTAGATGTCTCCTTCGTGCGGGTGTTTGATGGCTGCCCACTGCATCCCAGTGAGGATACTAACAGCTGGTGGTCCCGAGGTGCGAGGGCCACTGTGTTAGAGGCACCTTCTCAGGTGAGGGTCCCAGCCGTGAGGTCGGTGGCTGCTGTTGTGATTGGTGGTCAGAGCTGGCTTTGATGCTCGGCCGCCTTGTGTGTAGCAGAACACGTTGCTGCCCAGTCCCGTGCCAGCTTCGCGATCGCTGATATGCTCGAGCCCATTGTGTTGGTGTCTTGTTAGCCCATCGCATGCAGGGTTTTCCCCTCATGTGCCGACCACACGATGTCCTTCCCGGCCACTGGCCTCTCCTGACCACTTGCCCAAACAAGTGAGCCAAAGCCTCCCCACCCTCCATTCTGAGGAGGGTTCTGTTTGCTTTTCTTCTAGCACTGAGGTGTCCCCGCTTCTGGCAGCACAGGGGACACTGGGTACTCCTCGCCAGCACCACAGTCCAGAAGCTTCTGTTCTCGTCTTCTTTTGGGTGCTCATACGTCACTGCTTTCATTGTCTGGCTTTTCTGCCCATATGCTGCCATTTATCAGCCCCCGTTCCAGTGGTTGTGTGTTGGGTTGCTAACTGCAAGGTCAGCAGTTTGAAACTACCAGCTGCTCCATGGGAGAAATTTGAGGCTTTTTACTTCCATTAAGAGGTGCGGGCTCAGAAACTCACCAGGGCAGTTCTACCTTGCCCTGTAGGGTCGCTATGAGTCAGGATCGATTTGATGGCAGTGAGTTTGGTTTGGTGTCCAGACAGGAAGCTGAGGCACAGAGAGTCATAGCTTCTCGCACAAAGGTTAGCAAGTCCGGGCAGAAGTGGGGTGGTTCAACCCCAGTCTCCTCTTCCATCACACATGCTGCGGGCAGGAGCAGGGGAGTTCGTGGCACTGAAATACTGACGGCCAAGCCCAGACTTCCCGGGCTATCTCAAAAGGGGCTCCCTGCCTCTGGCTCAAGGTTAATTGTGGCCACACTCACACTATTGGGTCAGCAGTTTGGAGTAGCTTAGCCCAAGATCTCCACTTGGACATGAGTAAGTTTTGAGATCATCAGCATACTTTTTGGAGCCCAGTCAAAAATGAACAATTCGGGCCCCTTGTTCAAAATATGATGAATTTCAGGCTGGTGATAGAGGTGCATTAAACCATGCGTAGGCCCTTCCGCACGCAGGACTCCTTGTGACTGCTCAGGTCACACGCCCGAGAAGCCAGCTTTGCACGTCTCATAATAAGCGTTTGGAGTGACAGGAAGATATGATGAAATGCAGAAGTGTGCTGGCCTTTCCATCCCCTCCCAGCTAGACAAAGCAGATTTTCCAAGGTATTGCTTTCTATCTAAACCTAGTCTTGGAAGTCTTGGGCTATATGTCCTGTCCCTTTGATGAAGTCATTGGAGGGATGGGGACAGGGGGTCAGACGCCTCCTTTTGGGGTCAGGAATCCTGCTCCATTAGCTCCATCCATGCCTTTCAAATTCCTCGCTCCAGCCTCTTTCCCTTCAGCCGGTGAATGCACTAAGGAACCTCCTGTGTTAACCACCAAGCCGTACTGTGGCCGCTGGCCCCCCAGCCTCCCCAGCTCCTCCACCTACCCGGCTCAGCCAGGCCGGAAGGAGTCATTAGCCCCCCTTCCCCAGGCCGGAAGGAGTCAACCCCCCTTCCCCACGCCCTCATTCTCAGAAGAGTCCCAACCCTCCGCCATCTAGTTTTGTCTTCCATGATGTCACTCATTCTCGGCTCAAATTAGGGTGACCTCCTAATCGCCAAATCCGGTGGTTTCTTCCCATTCCCCACCCTTCTGGGCCTCTCCTCAGCACCTGGCATCATTCTGGCTCGGAGTGTGCCCCTGAGCCCGCTCATCCAGAAGACTGGCACGAGGCTGCTGGGAGGAAATTTGCATGATGCCCCCGGAGCCCGCCAGGCTGTACAGATACACTCGGTAGCTGTGACTAGCCTCGTCACCTTCACTGCCACGATCGTTGCGACACCATCTTGACCTCCTGCTCTCTTGGCTTTTGAAGCTCGCTTCTGACTGGGTCTTTAACAGTGAATTAAAAAAAAAAGACGTTTCTCTTTTAACATCAGTTATTTAGGAGACTAGTGTCAGAGTTCTGTCCTAAGTCCATGCCTCTGTTTGCTGTCCCCACAGTCTTTGTTGCCACTCTTTCCATACCTATGGCTTCCCATGCCCCCCACTTCTCTCTCTATCTGTGGCTTCCAGTGGCCCCTTCCTAGGCCATGATTTCCCAGGTGTATGAAGCCATTTCTGGACTGAGCTCATTGTCTACCTTCCTTCCATCTGGTTTCTCTCCTACAACTTTCTTCCCAGTTGCCTCTGTCGGAATCCTGAGCATTTTCAGTCTCCCTTTCTTGGATACCCACCAGTCCGGGTCTGTGAGGGTTGCCAGGGACATGATGGTGTGCAAAACACAGGGCCTGTGTGCCTGCTGCCAGGGGAGAGGTGGGATGAGTCCGGGAAGGGAAGGTCGTAAATCAGAACTGATTCTGCTGGTTCAGTGGGTGGGGCCAATGGTACGTGTGCTTGGCCACTAATTAACCAGTTAGTGGTTCAAGTCTACCCTGAGGTGCTGGGAAAGGAAGGCCTGGAGACCTTCCCACAGAAGCAACCGCTGAAAACCCTATGGAACACGCTTCTGCTCTGACGCGCGCACGCCTTGTCCCGGCTCTCCCGGCGAGGCCATGGTGCAGCTCTTTCTGCGTTGGGACTCCATCCCACTAGGTGTTTCTCTCGACCTGGGCCTGGGCTGTTAAGGGGTGTTGGCGCTGTGGGTCGGGAAAGCGAGGGTCAGTTCGGTCAGGGCTGTTGGGGCAGCTCTCGAAGGCCTGATGGGAGAAAGGCAATCAGTCCTGGCTGCTGAGGATGCTAACCCCGGGGGTCTTTCTCTCATTCTCTCCCTCTCCCTCTCCAGTCTGCGGCAAGCGCTACAAGAACCGGCCTGGCCTCAGCTATCACTACGCTCACACTCACCTGGCCAGTGAGGAAGGGGACGAAGCCCAAGAGCAGGAGACCCGGTCCCCACCTAACCACAGAAACGAGAATCACAGACGTGAGTTCCTAGTCATTCATTTCCATTGGGACAGCGAGGAGGGGAGCTGGGCTGGGGAGGATCTTTTCCCCCTCTGGCATCTCGGGGGCCAACTGTTGATGGACCTCCATGCCCTGTGGTGAGTTGACTTTTCCAGTTCAGCCAGTCAGTGGCCCTTGCGCCCAGCTGGGCAGAGGTCTCACACCCAGCTTGGCTCCCAGAAAAGGGAAGGTGAGTTAAGGCAAAGGGAAGGGTCCTTAGCTGGCCGTGGTCAAAGTCAGCTACACACTCTTTCCCATCAGTTCCAGAAGACCCATGCACAGCGGCTAACCTATGCTGGCCGTGACCTCCACTCACTGCCGTTGAGTTAATCTGACCCGTCGTGACCCTATAGGGCAGGGTCAAACTGCTGCTGTGGGTCTCTGGGACTGTAACTCTTTCAAGAGTAGAAAGCCTACTCTTTTTGTCTGATGGAGAGTGGCTGGTGGTTTTGAACTGCTGACCTTGTGGTTAGCAGCCCAACGCAGAACCATTATACCACCGGGCCTGGCCTTAGTGTGTGTCTGTCATTTCCACAAACACTCTAAGCTTTAAAAGAATGTTCTTTACCTGCCGCCGCCGGGTTGCTCACAGGGGCCACACTTGGGTACAGGACTTAGCAAGGTGGCCTTAGCAAGGTGGCCCGAGTCGTGGCGCGCTCGCTCTCGCACTAGCTTGGTAGATGTGAGCTGGGTGCCTTTGTCATTTGAGATGTTGGCACGGAAGAGATAAGAAGACCCTTCCTTCCCCACCTTCCAGCCATGAGCTAGCGAGTCAGCAAGCACCCTGGTCTTCATGACCCCGCTCTCCTCTTTCCCATTTCTTAACGGCCCGGGGCTGCATTGGCCTCCCGATGGGACTGGATAATGCAGCCTTGTAGAGCTCGCTTCAAGTTGTGGGCCATTCGAAGCTGTCTGTGCCATGTGTTTTTGATTTTGTTCACAAGATTTGGTAGTAGGTGCTCTTAAAGTGACCGAATCAACCCAGTTAGAGCAATCAGACCTTTAAATATCCAGCCTCTAGGGATTTAAGGCTGGCACATTTCAGTCAACCAGCTCAGTCAACTGGGCTGTCTTGGCCAAATATGTGTAAACATGGACTTACTTGTGGCCAAGACCACCTTCAGACTGGTGTGCATCTTTCCCAAACCCCCAATCCTCACTCCCCTGGTCCTGTTGCTTTTGTTGTTGGGTGCCACCAGGTGGGTTCCGACTCGTAGCCACCCGATGTTCAACAGAACAAAACACCTCCCCATCCCGTGCCATCCTCACAGGCCCGCTTTGATGTTGCCTCCCTCACAAGGCTGGAGTCTGTGGTGCTTTGACCTACTCTGTTCATCTGAGTAGACTCCCAAAGGCCAGGCAGGAGGCCTCTGACAGAGCGTTGTCGGCTCCCCCTTCCACCGCGGTGTCCTTGCCATCTGGCAGTTCCTGATGTCTCCCGCAGAGAGGCTTCCCTGCGCTCCTCCGTGTTCGTCTTCCAGAACTGACCTCTCCTGAAGCTCTTGGCCTGTGCCCTCCCTGTCTCCCTCCGCCTTGCTCCTCTGCCTGCAGAGTGCAGGAGGAGAAAGTGACCATCAAGCATGGGTGCTCTGGGAATCGTTTTGTGGCACTCGTTGCTTCTCTAAAGCAGGGTCTGCCACCCCACATTGCTGTCCAGTCCACTGTGATGCGGGACGGAGCAGAACTGTCCCGTGGGGCTTTACTGGCTTTACAGACACACACCACCAGGCTTCTCTAGCATGACGCTGCCAGGTGGGTGGGAACCACCAGCCTTTAGGTTAGCGGCAGGTTGCAGGCCGCTGGCGTCCAGAACCTTCGAGCAGGTCTTCAAACAGACAAAGCACACTGACTGCCACTGAGTTGGTTTCGACTTGGTGTGACCCTGGCAGGCGGGATACTGGCATGTTCCCAGGTTACGGGAGCAGGAAGTTCTCTCTTCTCCCAAGGACCGATGGGGTCCAGCTGCTGGCATCATGGGTAGTGGCCCGGCTGGGAACCCACTGCATCGCCAGGGCTCCTAGTGGGGCCTTGTTTCTGGTTTGTTCCGGGAGGTGCTGCACACACGCTGCAGGGTCTGCAGGACTTCTCTGGTCTGCGCCTCACTTCCCTCAGTTCTTGAACCTTCTGTTAGTGAGTGAGTGAGTGAGTGAGTGAGTGAGTG